AATATACTTCTATATGTGGCAGATATTTGTTATTTTCCCGGCTAAGTGCGAAGAAACTGTAGCGATTCATACCTTATGCAAATCCTCTAGATACGTTGCAATTAAGGATGTGGGGCTAGTAAATTCACTCAGGTAAACATAAAGTTTTTAATAATTTATTTTCTGATTTTATTTTAATATACCAAATGTTTTGATATCCTTTATCTCTAGATAATTTTTATACTTTTCGTATACTGCTTTAATCATTTTTATTATTTTAATATTTTGGAAAACATATGTGATGAATTTCTTTTATATATCGATATGCTCTGAATTTCTACACTAATAAGCCTTGATTTCTGTTCAGTAATCTCCAATATCAAGATTCCCTGGTTTGGAATAGTTCCTTTGATTAATTAATCTACTCCAGCGATAAAGAAAATAGAAGTGTTGATATGCCAGATATATGTCTTCACGAAGTTGGCCTTAATCATAATATACTATTTCGGCCCCAATGACCATGTCATGATCACTATTTGCTGATTGGCTAAGAGGTCTCAGAACTCATTTCTTCATCTCCCCCCCCCCTCCCCGAACGTCGTTGGTACCATGCTCGTTGCGTTTCAGAAAGTTCAATCGCTCAAGAGCACATATGCCTCAGCCATGCTAGCGTTTTATTCCCCACTTATAGATATTTGTGCTAAATATAGAATGTACTGTTTAGATATCAGATTTCAATGTGTTGGAAAGTTCCTTTTAGGCAACAAACTTTCATCTTAATCTATTCAGTCGAGTTTTATTTGCTCATATGTTTGCGAATATTGTCTTTTATTAAATATTTAGTTCATTGTAGCAAATGCCTTTTCTAGTTCACAATCATTCTGTATTTAATGATGGTTATCTAACTAATCTTTTCCCAATATGTGCGACATTTTGCTGATTTGAATAGATACCAACGAATCCAATAATATTTAAATGTACATTTCAATTTCGTATTATTTTGAAAGAAAGAGATGGGGCTAACTTTTTTTATTGAAACAAGAAACACAGTTACTTTTTGGATTTTTTAAAATGCAATTATTAAATAAAACGAATTGTGTACTGATCGAACATTTGAGGAAACCTTAATTCGTCTATTATAAAAAATATCCTGAACGATTCTTCCCTTTGCCTGCCTTTTCATTTAAATAATGTTTCATAAGTCTAAGAGAGTTCTGTTCACCAGCCTTTTTTTTCTATTTTTTATTTTACTCACACCACTGTAATGTAATAAAATCGTAGTAGTTCACCTTCCTTTTAATAACTAAATTTTGATTATTGAGATGAATGTTTAGCCGATTACTGGGAATGCAGTAACAATGTCAATCCTTTGTCATATCGGTTCCCCTGAATAACTATAGTAAGTCATGACTTATGTTCAACTGAAGTCATGATTCGATGATTCGTTGCTTGGCTAATCTTAATCTAGGGCTTTGTGCACGGAAAATCATTGCCCACTAACGTTTGACTTATCACTCTCCTGTAGAACCAAATTCAAATATTATTAATGGATTATGTCTAACGGCAACAAAAGACTTATCTTGTCAGTCTTTTTCTCTTACACTAAGATTAACTTTGGTAAGCCTTATAAGATCTAAGTATCAAGCAATGCTCTCTGAAAAGCCATCTGCATTGCGATTTATATAGTAGAACAAATAGAATATAACATTAAGATGGTGTCGAGAATCATGCAAAAAAGTTAATTGAAAGTCTTCTTACTCCTTGCTGAAGTTATCTACTGGGGAGTTGGGTTAACTCTTTAGCTATTTTGTGGGTTCAAACTTAAAAGGTGTCCACGAATCAGCTATATATCAGTTTCCTTACTTCAATGATATGTGATCCGTGGCCCTTATCTCTTAGCACGATATATATATCCCCTAGGTTTTGCACAATTTACAAGCACATAAGATTAGTTCCGGTTTTATATTTTTTGGCATTAATTTATTACTTTAATTAAATAGGCATTTGAGTTTGAGGGCGGGGGGAGAGCAGGCTGGGGGAATTGTGTTGCTAATGCAAAACTACTATACAGAGAAAAATTGTTGTTCACACTATTGATTTTTTTCAACTAAACAGTCTAGATTAAAGATCAAATCGATGCTAAGGAGCAAAATAGTTTCATGAAATGGAATTTCCCGTTTAAACGCCCTAGGCGGACTTTCAGAAACCCCCAGCAGTACCTTAAGTGGCTAATCATTGTTATTTTCTTGTTCCATATGATTCATGTAGATAATGCCAATAATCTTGAAAAATTCAATAAGTCTAACAATGAAATAATAATGTCCACAAACTCGGAGTTCTATTAGCACTAATTATCTCTATTCCGACCCTAATTCGCATAATTAACTGCTTTGGGAAAAGTCAACCCATATATTCACGCTAGTGAATGTGTCAGTCACCTCAAATCCGATTGGCGCCTCACTGCGATTTTTGATTGGCTAATGGTTTGTTATTACAGGTGGACCTGATCGTGAACCGTACATTCGGTCGCATACGTCTTAGGGCTCCAATTCCGGCGTAAGTCAGTTTCATTTTTAGACGAAAGATTAGAATTAAAGAATGTAATTAATCAATGTAAATAGTTCAATTCGTACCAAACTTGATTTACTTATTCATTTTTGGGGTAGTAATTTATTATTTCTCTTTGACGAACCCATAATTACTTTATTTTGGCTTATATCTTATTCCAATTTATGAAATTTTTCATATACTATGCCTCATTTGTTTATATTTCTTTAAACATCTTATCTACTATATATGGCTATCTATTTAAAACATGCAACGAATTAGTGACCAATTATTTACGCTATAACACGGCTCCAATTTGTGGCCATTTATAATTTTCACTTCCTCAAACAAATTGGGTTTTTGAACACATTACTGGGTTATCCACCTCGTTCCCTCTTGCATTTCTCTCAATATCCTCCCGGCAACCTTCTAGAGTTTTGTCTAAGTATTGTGTTTGAATAAGTTGTCACATTCTGTTGTGTTATCGTTCACACTTTTTGGATTGACTGAATGGCACGAAGATGCACCAAACTGAAGGATTTTCGGTGGTGACTATGCTGGAGTTAGTCGATGATGGAAATTCTGGCTTACGCTAGGAATGGAGCTATAAGATTTGGATTGCAGAAATCATCAAGATGGTATCGATAAGTTCTTGTTAAATCGTAATAACACACACACACACATACTGGCGTCTTTGACCTCCCAATGTAGTGTAATCAAAATAATTACATTGATGCTGATATGGATGGCAACAATTCTACACGGTTCCTTTGAAGCTGGTTACGTCTTCCGTTCGAGTTCATTCCCATTGCACTTGAGGCGAGATGGGATAATGTTAATTCCTTCTCGTGGGTTCGACCTCGTTCACCAAACATTTAATAGGGTATCGGTATTGGTTAAGTGTATAGGCGCGGGACTGAGTTGATTTGTTTACTTAGAACTAAACGGGATCCAAAATGGCAACGAAATGTTCTGAGTTAAATTAAAGAATTTCCTACTGATATTGAATCGTAAACATCTGATTACATTTAATATTTAGATTGTGGGGTGTGCGATAGACTTACCTCCATGCGGTGCACCCCGGGAAATGTATTCTCATACGGCAAAAAGGTCTATAAACAGGCGGTTGACTTCTGGCTTCAAACTGCCATGACCCCACTATATGTCATATTCCACCACTTTCACAGTACTCACCTCACATTTTTTCTACCTTTGTGTCTGTCTGACTCTTTTACATCTTTGAATCACTCTTCTGTTCCCTCTCTCCACATTTTTTCACTTTGATGCTCCTCTCCTCTGTGAAGCCCGAAGTCAGATAAAGGTCTAATGATAAGTGTCATAAAGCCCGACATTTGGAACAGATATTTAGATTATGGGAATCAGCTGCCACTTTCTATCACGTTGTCCTGTCACCTTGTTCAAGGAACTTAAAAAAAGAGGAAGTACTTCTCAAAATGCTTTTTCATTTAAGCTAGGAAAGCAACTATTCACTTTTAGAATTTTGTCAGTTCATTTGCTCTTCATTTGCCTTTCTAACACATTGACTTTGGTGGTTTTGTTGCATCTTCGATGAGTCAGCGGTAGAGTGCCTTTGTTTAAACTGTACGAGTACCGAGGTATCACACGCTGGTGACAGTGCGCACTCACGGAACGGAATGCTCAAGAGCACTGATTAATATTGGCAAACGTAGAGAATGTCCGAATGCGAGTTCCTCTCGCCAGGGGGAGTTCCATGACGTTATTTATTTATTTATTTCAAATGGCAGGCTTTATGATATTTATCATTAGCCCTTAAACTTTGACTTCAGCTTCCCCCAAGGGTGGGGGTTCATTTATAGCAGTTAATTAATAGCAATTCATTAGCTGTCTTCTTGCTTCTCAGTATCTCTTGCTTTCCGTCGTTGTCTTTAGAGCTGGACATCGAATCAGGTGGGTCTTCTCCATTTCCTCCTGTAGGTTACATAGGGGACATGTGGGTTGAGTGCATACTCCGAATCTGTGAAGGTGTTTTGCCAGACAATCGTGTCCGGTGCGTAGTCTAAACTCAGCAACGCCTTCGATTCTTGGCCAGTCGACTATGTCGGAGAGTGCCACTGTCCACTGTTTCTCCTATGTTCGAGCTTTGAGTTCGATACACCTTGAACCATGACGTTATTAGTCTAGCCAAGATGTACGTTTTGGAAAAATGCTTTCCTGAATGGGCTGGGGATTTAGTGGTCTATCCTTGTTAACGACCTCTTTGTCTGCAGTCGTCTTAGTTGGAATGGACAAATAGTGGATTTAGGGGGCCGAATTTTCCTTTTTTTCTATTTCAGTGAGTAGTGTTTGGATTTAGTGAATAGATGGATTTTATTGAGACTCTAGCATTCTTTCACTATTTTATTTGCCATTTTAGGATGAAATTGATTGCTTTAATGATTTCATTGGTGTTGGTTTTTACGGTGGGAATATATCTCACGGAGTGTCGTCTCCCGATGGTATTTTCAATGGAAACGTTAGCTCGAGTCAGATCGGGCGAGTTGGAACCCTGTTCTGCATACTTGGTGGAAAGTCTTCCAGAAGGTGTTATCTATCCACCCTCAGCACCATCACTCATATCTACTTCATTCGCTTGGGATTTACTTATCTTTAAAGCTAAGCGGAACATATCAATTGCCTCGTTCTATTGGTCCATGTTAAGGGAAGATGTCTACAATTCCTCTTCCGCTTATCAGGTAATTTCCGTTTGTTTAAATTATTCAATGCATTCGAGTTTATCAGAAACGCCACATCTGAGGATATAATTTTGCACCCTAGCTAACAATCCTTCGCATCTTAACACAAATTAATACGAGCGCACACGACTTTAAACAACTAGATTCATAAATACCTACTATAGAAAAAATTTCATATTCACAATAATCAAACAATAATAAATCGTAATGGCACACCATATACATACTTATCAAAATTGCCATAGCTCGTAGTTCAGATATTATTAAACCTTGTGTTCAATGGTAACCCCAAATGGTATAGTCACACTTATAAAGTAAGAACTTTTGGAAACGTTCACTGGATAATATGGCTACTTAGCTTTGATTCAAAGTCCACGTGGCTATCCAGTTACTCAACACCCAACCCCCCTCC